CCAGCATACTAAGAACAAGAATGTGGCTGAGAGTAGCTGGCATTGATCTATGGAGAAGTTGCTCTTGACTAGCCTCGTAGCTTTTTAAATGAGATGAGTTTCTTGGAGAATGAGTGGACAGTAGTGAATGTTGTTTATCCTGATTTCAGCAAGGGTTTCTGAACTGGCTCCTATAATGTTCTCTCTGGCAAACTGATAAGATATGGGCAGAAGTGCAGGGCTCAAAGGGTTGTGATCAGCAGAATAAATTCCACTGACTGGTACGAGGGCCAGACACTAGTGGTGTACTCCAGGGGCTGATACTAGAACCAGTGTTTTTCAACATCTTCATTAATGACTTGGATGATGAAACACAAAGTTTGCAGACGGTGCAAAACTAGGAGGAGTGATTGATGGATCAAATGGTCTGTGCTGCCATTCAGGGGGACTTCAGCAGGCTGGAGAAATGGGTCAATAGGAATCTTAACGAAGTTCCACAAAGAGAAGTGTAAAAGTCCTGCCCCTGGGGAGGAATAACCTCATGCACTAGTGGACACTGGGGACCAATTGGCTGGAAAGCTGTTTTGCAGAAAATGAGCTGGCTGTCCTGGTGTTGAACGTGTCAGACTTACATGTTGAACATGTCAGTTTACAATGTGCCCTTGCACAAAAAAACCCAAGTGGCATCCTGGGCTGCTGGAGGCAGTGCGTTGCTGTTAGGTTGAGGGTTGTTTCTTCCCCTCTACTCAGTGCAGGTGAGATCACAGCTGGAGTGCTGGGTCCATCTCTGGGGTCCTCAGAAAAAGACATGGACAGAGTGGAGCTAGTCTCGCAAAGCACCAGGAAGATGATGAAGGGACTGAGGTACCTGTCACACAAGGAGGAGCCAAGAGAGCTGGGATTGTTTAGCCTTGAGAAGAGAAAGCATGGTGGGGGGTGAGGGTGTGCGTGTGTGTGTTAGGAATGGGTATGAATACCTGAATGGGAGGGAGTGATGAAGATGGAGCCAGACTTCTCTCATCGGTGCATCCTGACAGGGCAGAGGCAATGGACATGAACTGAAATAGAGGTAGTTCAATTTAACACCTTTTGGGAATATTCAAAACCTGACTGGGCACAGCCCTGGGGCAACCTGCTCTAGCTGACTGTGCTTGAGCAGGGGGGTTGGACTAGATGATACCTAGAGGAGTTCCTTCCCACCTCAACCATTCTGTGGTTCTGTGATAGCAGACCATTTCAGTCCTTGAGACTACTCATGTTCTGTGAAGATGAGCCCAGTTACTTAAAAACTAGAAGCCAATTCATTTTATTTGGAACCAATTGGTAAACTATTGATAGCAACTTAAATAATATTTGTGGCAAAGTGGTTTTCACATGTTCAAAATGTCAACAAAATACATGGCTTTCTCAGGCATTGGTTTCTACTGATCAGTTAGCTTCATTATTAAATATGAAGAATCCTGATTTTGAAACCGAAATGTCATTTGGAAGTAAGTGGTGGGTTGTCATCTTACGTTGCACAACAACCACTTAATAACATCTGCCTTTTTGGTTGGTTTGTTTTAAATTTCATTTATTTATTTATTTTTAAAGCAGGATCTTAATGCTTGAGTAGTAGACAGGCACATAAAGATAAGTTAACCTTAATTTCCTTAGTTGGCCAGCTGTTGGATGGGAGTTCTTTTTGTGCAGTGTCCAATTCACAGTGCCCTTCCAGCAAGGAGCAGGCAATCTCTGTTCTGTTGTTTTCTTCTTTAGTCCTTCCAACCCTTCTTACTTCTCTTCATGACTTGCTGTAAGGCCCAACCAGTGCTCTGTAACCCTTCCTGGGATAAAGTCTCATCCTTCTTCCTTCCCTTACTGTATGTATAGTTTGTGGCTCCCACTGCAGCTGTTAAACTGCTTACACCTTACCACTCTTCCTGTGATTAACACCTTTGTTCATACTGACTCATTTGTACAAGGCCAAGCAAAATTTAGGGAAAGCCAGAAAACTGCTAATATGGCTAAAACAAGTGAGATATTGGATTTGCTGTCACAGGGGTGTCAAAAATAATTTTTTTCCAAATGCAGTTAAAATCAAACTAAAATAGATTAGAGACCACATAAGGCCTGACAAGTGTTGGTGCTAGACATGGATAACAATTGTTATAAAACCAAAGGCCTGTAGTTAGTACAAGGGCATTATTATTACTAACAGTTGGTAGCCTTTCTCGCCTTGGCTTGCAACAGAAAACCCAATTTTACTGTTTGGCTGCAGGAATTTATTTTTGAGACACAGCTATTTTTAATATTTACCTCTACTCTGGAGGGGAAAAAAAATGCTATTGTGCTAGCAAAGTGTGGACATTGGAATCGTCAGTGTTTGGAATAAAGGGTGGGAACAGTTCAGAGAAATCAAGCTGGGCCACATGGCAAAATCAATGAGAGTAAATATAAATGTAGTTAAATGGAAGGCCATATTGAAGAACAATGGTGGATGTGAGAATTTAGTTTAAAGCAAGGGAAAAAAAACAGTTTGAGGAGTCTTCTAAAAATTGCATGTTTATAGACAGTGTTCAAACCTGCATGAGATCAGTTCTCCCCCTCCCCCCATGCCAACTGCATGATCTTGGTAAAAAATTTCCTTCCCATAGAATATAAGTTCATAATACTGGTTTTTTCCATGTCAAATCACTTTTGAATTGACTTAACCAGTTTGGGTATTTTTCTATCTTTTAAGTTTTGATCAAGGCCAAAGAGTGAGATGGATTCCAGTTTTCTTGTTTCCAGTATTACAGAGTTGCCTCTTATTTCCTCCAGTAGGTTGATTGTTACTGAACAAGGGGCGTTTCACCTGTTGAGTTTCCCAGCGATATGTGAACTAGTAGCAAGTTGCCCACTACCGCTTCACATCAGCGAGAATATAATCAGAAATACTGGCTTACGTTCTGCTAAACTTAATCTTCTTCAGTGATTTTAAAAAAACAAACAGCAAACCACAAAAAACCAAAAACCCCTTGAAATTTATCTTAAGTACTATAAAAAGTTTTTCATAAATCCAGATGTATATTAAAAATTACATGGTTAAATTAAATCATTGGTTATTTCATCTTAAAGAGCTTGCTTACACTTTCAATTTATTGACAAAATCTCTCTGAATTAAATTTCTAGTTAAGCTTTTTTCCCTTTTTGTGAACTGTGGTTTCATTTGAAGGCATTGCTGGAAGCTGCTTTCCAACACTCATTTCCATCTTACATTAAGAGCAAACAAAAGGTAACTTCTGAGTAGGTTGAGATTATTGTGTAAGCTCACTTTATTGCTGTGACAAAGTCCTTCCTTATTCTGCTTGTCTGTGTACATATTTGGGGGTTTTTTTTGTTTGTTTGGGGTTTTTTTTGCGTGTGTGATTTTCTATTTTTTTAAACAGTAGGATGATTTGTCAGAAACGGAAACTAGATTTATCTTGTGACTGAACTAATCTTGGTTTCCTGCTGTTCTAAAGTAGACTGTTGGCAAGGAAAAGCTTTGTCATAAAGCAAATGCAACCGCATCTTTTTCTTGTATAAGGGGAGGGTGAGGAGGATATAGTAGAGGCTTAAGGCAGTAGTGACGCATTGACTGAAAGTGCCCTGCTCCACAGCTAATGATCCTGCTTCTTCACAAAGCATCTTGAGCTAGGAAAACTTCCTTGAATCCTTGGGCTACATAGGCAGTTAACTGAAATGTGTCAGGGCTGTTTTTATGGCCTGAGGCCAGTGGGCTTGGCAGTTGTCCATACCACTAAGAGCTTTCACTCCTTATAGAGTAGCTACAATTCAGTTTGCATATTTAATGGAGTTTGACCTGTGCTGATTCATGAACCAGTGTCTGGTTGGTCTGGGCCAAACCCGAGCAATGCGAGAGGTTTGTAGCTGTTTCACAGTTGATGCTAGGGTGTGACTGTGGTTCAGTGCCCAGACCCACACCCTGGTCCTGCTCAGTTCACTTAGCACAGCCTTGGTCACATAGAAAGAATGGCTAACCAGCGTAGTAACGAAAGTATCAGCTAACTCTCTTGGCACTGATAGATCTTGTTTTTCATGTGTGTGGTGCTGTGGACGTTGTTGGGCATTTATGTTTTTACTTTTCACGTATTCGGATGCTGGAGATCTGAACATATGACCTGTTTTATATAAAATGTATCGCTGTTGCCATCCTTCTGTCTCATGATGATGTGGGGAGGTGTTTGACTAATGTCTGTATCCATGCATATAAGCATTATATCCTGTTGCTTTATCATTGCATGAGTAGTGCTTTAAAATTAGTAATGCTGAGCTTTATTTTCTTTACTGAAGTTCTTGATCGAAGATTTCCATTTTGTTAAAACCAAGTAGATTCCTGCTCCTGGACCTTCTTTGCTTTTAAACTTGAAAAAAATCCCAAACTCTTTGAACAAGGTTCTGTTAAAATCAGAATTTTCTGTGAGGTTTTGGTAAATTTGCATGTAATTTTTTGTTTGGTGGGGTTTTTTTGTTTGTTTGTTTGTTTCTTTAGCTGTAGTGGGCAGCAATATTCTTAAAAACATAGACTGTCTTGCGAGTGGTGAATAAACGTTTGATTTTGTAGACCTCAAAAAAAAAAAAAAGCAGGTTGCCTTGGAGAAGATTTGAATGTTTGCTGATCATCAGTTAATAGCTATGTGGAAGCTCTTATGCTTGTTAAATTTGAGGTAGTTTACTCCTCCATGGAAGCTGCCTCAGTTCTGAATTTCTCACACTAGGTACAAAGTGAGAAGTGTATGTTTGGGCACTTAAACTTTAAGTTGTATTGCATCTTTATATTCTGCCTTGCAGTTTGGTACTTTTTTGCACATTTGTATCATAGGCTACTTTTGCATCTGTTTTTCCCTAACTGTGTCAAAATGAGAGAATTACTGTAGTAAGCTGTTCACGTGGGAAGTGGTCCAATGTTGAAATAAGCTTTCCACCCTGGAGAAGTATTTTAGTTTATGAACCCCATATAAATGCTGTCTCTTCTTTTTTCTTCTCCCATTTGGTAGTGGATACCCTGTTTTCAAGAAAACTAAATGGAAAATACAGACTTGAACGCCTTGTTCCAACTGCAGTCTACCAACATATGAAGATGCACAAACGAATTTTAGGACACTTATCTTCTGTATACTGTGTAACTTTTGATCGGACTGGCAGGCGAATATTTACTGTAAGTACAAATCTTAATTTTTGTAGATTTTTTTTTTTTTTGAAGTACAGATAGCACGTCACCTAATTGTTTCCAAAAACTAAATGTACTGATGTTGTGGATCAAAAGCAGATAAACGCTTTATTACAGTTACATTTATATATGCTTTTTAATAATTATGCTGGTTTGCATGTAAATTAGTAATGCTGAGCTTTATTTTCTTTACTGAAGTTCTTGATCGAAGATTTCCATTTTGTTAAAACCAAGTAGATTCCTGCTCCTGGACCTTCTTTGCTTTTAAACTTGAAAAAAATCCCAAACTCTTTGAACAAGGTTCTGTTAAAATCAGAATTTTCTGTGAGGTTTTGGTAAATTTGCATGTAATTTTTTGTTTGGTGGGGTTTTTTTGTTTGTTTGTTTGTTTCTTTAGCTGTAGTGGGCAGCAATATTCTTAAAAACATAGACTGTCTTGCGAGTGGTGAATAAACGTTTGATTTTGTAGACCTCAAAAAAAAAAAAAAGCAGGTTGCCTTGGAGAAGATTTGAATGTTTGCTGATCATCAGTTAATAGCTATGTGGAAGCTCTTATGCTTGTTAAATTTGAGGTAGTTTACTCCTCCATGGAAGCTGCCTCAGTTCTGAATTTCTCACACTAGGTACAAAGTGAGAAGTGTATGTTTGGGCACTTAAACTTTAAGTTGTATTGCATCTTTATATTCTGCCTTGCAGTTTGGTACTTTTTTGCACATTTGTATCATAGGCTACTTTTGCATCTGTTTTTCCCTAACTGTGTCAAAATGAGAGAATTACTGTAGTAAGCTGTTCATGTGGGAAGTGGTCCAATGTTGAAATAAGCTTTCCACCCTGGAGAAGTATTTTAGTTTATGAACCCCATATAAATGCTGTCTCTTCTTTTTTCTTCTCCCATTTGGTAGTGGATACCCTGTTTTCAAGAAAACTAAATGGAAAATACAGACTTGAACGCCTTGTTCCAACTGCAGTCTACCAACATATGAAGATGCACAAACGAATTTTAGGACACTTATCTTCTGTATACTGTGTAACTTTTGATCGGACTGGCAGGCGAATATTTACTGTAAGTACAAATCTTAATTTTTGTAGATTTTTTTTTTTTTTGAAGTACAGATAGCACGTCACCTAATTGTTTCCAAAAACTAAATGTACTGATGTTGTGGATCAAAAGCAGATAAACGCTTTATTACAGTTACATTTATATATGCTTTTTAATAATTATGCTGGTTTGCATGTTAAGATAGTTTTGGCTTACATGTCTTAAAGCTAGTTGTGATGGTGATGGCTGATCTGTGTAGTTCAGCTAGAAAACTTGGTTTATTTTCAGTGGAAAGGAATTAGCCTGTGTAGATTCTTTCCTCTGGACTGTTATCTCTAGCAAAAACATGAGCAAGAGAATGGACCGCCACCACAGAATTTGACTAGGAGGTCAGAGAGAACAATCTATAGTCAAGGTTATGTTGACACTTTCCTATAGCTTTTGTTAAATTTAAAGCATGACTGTAAAGTTAATCAGTCTGGTGATAGACTTAGATTTGGTACTTAGCATGTTGATAGAAACTAGAAAGCTGAAAATTCACATGGTGTGTTACAACAAATGTTGGTTCACAAGTTGTCTTTATGAGATCCCAGGAACCTTTTTTTCCTTTTGTACAGTGTTCTTAGTATTTTGTTGTTGTTTAAGAAAAAAAAAATTGGCCAGATGTCTGAAATCAGTACTGAAATTGCAAGTTTCCCAAGGAATGGGAATTACAAAACCAGATAAGTGCATCTCTTGGTAAGTAGTCAGTTTTAGTAGAGCCAGAGATCTCATGAATACACACCTGGTGCCAGTCTGGGACAGTTTGGCTGCATTTATTGCCTTACCACAAACACCAGATGTAATGTATACCTTTGTGGATCCAGGAGCTTGATTGTGTCCTTTCTAACCTCATGGCAGGTAACTCGGGCAATGCAGGTGGAAGTACGGTTCAGTTCTACTTTATGTATTTCAGTCCTAACTTCTAAAGTTCCTTCAAGGTGGTTGTAAATATATTTGCCCTTTAGCCTATGTACATTTTGCTTTGTTGCGTGGAGGGATGCGTGGTTGCAGGGATTGGGACACTTACAGTGTTTTAAACAGACTTCTGTTTATTTGTTCACTTTTTACTTTAGGCATAGCTGAGACTTCTTTCATATTTCTTTAGCTTTCATCGGCAAGTTAACTCCCTCACCATTCATAGCCATTAAATTCTTATGTTGTGGAGTTTATGCGTGATCGACCTATCAGGAAAAGTTGTGGGTATATTTTATATGTGACATGGCAGAATGGATTAGAGATTTTATGCGTACCAAGTATAAAAATTGCCTATGCTCACCCTGTTCACCTCTAAATAAAAATTCTGTTTGTGCTTCCTAGATGAAGTGCATAAAACTCCTTAAGATCTTCTGATTCTCCATTTTCTCAAAACTCTCCCATGTTCCGAAAATCTTTCCTCTTCCAGAGATATACGTACACTTCCTCTTGGGTACATCTACAGTGATCATTCCTTGTTGCACTTTCCCTTGCTTTTTGCAGTCTGGTTTAAAAGTGATTAAAGAGAGAGAATTCTCTTGACTGCAACAGCAATTTGTTTCAAAAAGAAAAGTTGAAGAACCTGAAATAAAAAGCCGGGGGGCGGGGGGAGAGCAATATTGCTTCTGCAACCCCAAAGTTTTGCTGGCAGTCCTTTGATGACAGGTATACTGGTCTCCTGGTATGACTGCTTGGAAAAAGTTTAGAGCATCATGACTTCAATCTAGTGTTAAATAAAGTCTCCGTAGAAATTAATTGTGGCTGGTGAATTTTCATTTTGGAGGGCCTGGGACAGCACTTCTTACCTCAGTGTTCTCAGGTAAATCCAATGGTTTTTGCATAGAAGTTTTAAGTGGTTGTTGGCAAATGGAAACCAATGGGTTGTATTCCACATTCCAGTAAAATCCAAGTTGCTGTAGCTGGCCTGATGTAGTCAGTGGATAACAGTCATGGACTGTCTTGTATTTGCATCTGCATAATGAAATGGTGCCAGTTCTTTTCAATCTAGATCACTACAATTTCTGAAGTCTCTAGTGTAATAAGTAGAAATAGGAATTTATAATCAAAAGTAAGGCAATCTTCATTCCAGACAGATCTGTTGCCAGTGTGTAAATTTGCATGCATCTGTAGGGAATCATTCTTGCTCTACATTGTTACTCTACAACCTCCAGCATGCATTGTGACATTAGGTAGATAGGAGGTTGGTTTAGATTTATAATGGGTTCTAGAAGATGCATCATAACTTTCCTTTTCCTCCCGACCTCTGAAGGGCTGAAAACCTCTGCATTCAAGTTCTTTTTATGTTCTGCTTCAAATTAAAAGGAAAAGAAAGTGATCTCAGCACACTTGAGTCATACTCTTCTGGGAGATGTTATCTTTGCTAGGAAGAGGGTGCTCTTAGTTTGCCTAAAGGTAGTGAAAACAGGACATCATGCAGTTCGCCTAAAGGTAGTGAAAACAGGACATCATGCAGTTTCCTTACTAGCTAGTAGGTCACACAGTGACTGTTATATTCTCTTATGAATTTCACAAGAGATTTTTGAAGATCAACCTCTTACCTGTTTTTTTTCCTGAATATACAAAAGTATTCTTAATTACCAAGGCAACATAGTTTGTATTTCAGGGTTTTTTTTTTTTATTAACTGCAATTAAGGCATCCTCTTTACTTGGAGAGACAACTAGAAGACCTATCAGCCATCAGTGAAGGAAACCAAATTATTTCTAAGTGTATTGTGGATCTATTGAAAAACATGACTTGCAGAACCTGCACAGGGTAATAGAAACAGGCATTTTCTTTTCTGGGTCCTACACTGCTTAACTTTCTGACTGCAAAGAAGGATGGCCAGCTCCTTTTTCCCCACCTTTATCTTCCTGTCTCCTCTGAGATTACTCTTTCTAGGGAATACTAAACAGCATTGTGTAATAGTCTGTGTAAGATTTCCAACCCAAGATTAATTTGTATGTTTCTTGGCAGTTTCACTTCAGCCCACAAGTCTGTGTAATGGTAGGAAAGTGAACCAGTTTTACTCCATACCTTGGCAATGCTGTCATCAGTTCTCTCTTGATGCTAAACTTGTTCTAGGATTCACTTTTGACAAATGCTTTTTAATAGGCACATAATTTGTAGCAGTTGTAGACATAACCTTGGAAACATGAGCTGTGGTGTAAGCCTTGCTAGTACGACTGCAACAGTATTTTAAGAGTTGTGAGCTGTCCTATTAAGTTCAGGCAGAATCTCATTAATTTATTTGAAATCTAATACTGTTATCTTGCCAAGATGCTACAGAACTTACAATTTTATTGTAGTAGTTTTTTTATTTCCCCCCCCCTTTTTTTTTTTGTTTTCCTTTGTTCACAAGTGTCAACAAGAAAAGCAATTTGATTTTTCTATGCAGTGGAGATGTACAACACACGCCACTATAGCCAGCTGGTAGGGAGCTGGCTGGTTTTATGCTGATGTTCTTTTCTTGGTTTGCTGTTATTAAGTAGACATCGGGGGGTCCTCCAGGTGGCATTGGGTCCCAGAACTAGCTTTTCTTTACTTGCTGACCATTTTACATCTTTAAGTTGTCTACGTGCAGGTTGCTTTCCATCAGTTACATTCTGCAAGCAGCATTTTAGGAGTCTCATAATGCAGGGTTTGGTTTATTGGTTGTCTCTTTTTTTTTAAGTGACTGCAAGCTATAAGCTTACTGTAAGTCATTAGCTTATCCATAATATTTATCTATAGTCCTGTAGGCAAAGGGTTTTTTTGGTTGTTTTGTTTTTTAAATTTGGGCAGCTCTAAGAAAAACAGGACCGGTGGTTTAAGATTTCTGGACTGTGGTGCAGCTAAAATTATTGCCTTGGTTCTGTTCTTATGCATGTACTGCTTTGAGAAAGAGGTTAATCCATATGTGAGTGATTTCCACCCTCTATAGCGTTTTGGAAGTTT